GGCACATAACAACAATAAGAAGAAGTACCTACTCCATCTTGGTAAATAATAATTCCGTGATTATGATGTGGGGATTGAGTGTATTAAATTTTAAAGCTTTCTATGCAATTAGTATAGATCCTAAACTCTGGTTATACACTTTAGCAAATCCCAAAGTGTTGGTATGTCCATTGACTTCTACACTTGTCCTGGCATATGCTTCTTGGAACAAAAGTTTTTTGTGGTTAAATATCAAATCACTGGGTGGTGTAAACACCCACTTGGTCATTCAAGTCTACCTCGAGGTACCTCAAAAGGAAGGTTTGACAATTTACTTCCCAAACACCAGCTACTGAAAACCTTACAGAGCACAGTTCTACTTTGACATGCATATTGTTCTTATACGCCATCGAGTCGAGTAGGACTCTATGAACAACGGCTCTGAATCTTGCTCTATTTTGAGCCAACCTCACCATCTCAGACCCCTTGACTCCAGTGTCATAGTCACTGTGTTAATCCATTTCATCCACACATGAAATATATGGGCTAACCATAAATTGAAGTGAGGTCAATTTGCTGGCAGCAGGTAAACTGAGGATAACAAGTTAAATGTTTAAAAGTACTGCATGCTTATGCCTGTTACCTCTCTTCTCTTGAAATTCAAATGTGCATGGGCTCATTAACATATCCGAGAAGTTTAGCAGCACACATATTTGAAAATTTGTGATTTGCTGTCTTCTGATCTGATTTGACCTCTCAAGGTCTACTTTTCTTAGAACTCTCAGGCTTGTGCAACCCATTTTGGAAAATGCCGTTTTATAGAGTTAGCAGAAACTAATTGTGTCCGTATTCAGAAGCTCTTCCTGTTAAGAGTTGCTCTGGTAGTGTAGTTTCAGGGCGTTAACTAGCCAAAGGCTACACACTTCTAGCAGTTTGACTCTACTGCAGCTTTACCAGGAAAAGATGGGCAATCTCTTCTGATGTGGTTTACAGCCTCCTAAACATCTACGGAAGGTCAGTTTTAAGTTGGTTTCAATGTGACAGCCACGAAAGGGATGTGTGTGTGTGTGTGTGTGTTTGATTTTCATACAAAGGACATAAGGGAGGGACAAGGTACCAAAGGTCAGCTAAAATTTCTTCTTCTCTGGGTGTGTGGGGAACAGTCTGTGCTTCTGTTTACTCTTGCCTCCTGTTACTTATTCTCCGACTGTAGAAGTTGATAGAAATCTTCTATTTCCTCTTCCTTGGCTCTGGTTGTTGGTGCATATATCTGAATGATAGTGGTATTCACTGGACTTCCTTGTATGTGTATGGATATTATCCTGTCACTCACAATATTGTACTTCAAGACGGATCTAGAAATGGCTTTTCTAACTTTGAAAGCAACTCCATTTCCCCTCACCTTTTCATGTCCGGAGTAGTATATCATATGATCATCTTGATTAAAAATGTCTCATGCCAGTCCATCTTATCTCACCAATGCATAGTATGTCAATATTTATGCGTTCCATTTCCTCCTTAACAATATCTAATTTTCCCACAGTCATGGTTCTCACATTCCATGTTCCAATCACTAGTGTCTGCTTACAACTGTTCCTCTTCCTTTGTATTTCCATACAGTTGCCCTTTCTGTCATTCTATGTGTGTTCTGTTGTACATAGGGTTTTCAGAGGCTTGCTGTTTTGGAAGTGGATGGCCAATCCTTCTTCCTAGTGTATGTCAATCTGAATGTTCAGATCTTTTATAGAAAAGGTGGAAATATATCCCTTAATGTGAAATTAACCATTAGTTTTGGCGTTGTCCCTGCCCTTGCCTCAAGTGCCCTGACCCACTTACTTCTTTGCTCCACCATCCATCAAGATACTCCTCCACTTCTATCCACTCCCTTCATCACCTATCTCCCATTGTCAAGACCTTAAACTGACAGCTTATATCTAAAGCTTCCTTGGTCTCTGTGATTCCAGATTCATCAGCTGCTAACAGTTTCCTATGCTGTGACCAGAGTCTCCTAAGTTTAGTGGTAATGTGTCCCAAATGGAGATGATGTGTCCTGTGGAACTGGTGTGTAGAAGTTGTGTGCAGTTTTGGGCCTCCACTTTACCTGTTTGGGCGGGGGGTTTTAACTCTGCTGAGGTGTCTTGTCTTTTGCCTGCCTTCTTCCCTTCTAGGCTTCCCGCTACTGACTGAGTTGCACGCAGCTTTGGGCCTCCGCTTGACTGTGTGGACCACAACAAACTGTGGCTGACCCTGAGAAGAATGGGAATCCCAGAACACTTGATCGTACTAATGCGAAACTTATACTTGGACCAAGAGGCAGTTGTCAGAACAGAGCAAGGAAACATTGCATGGTTCAAAATTGGGAAGGGCATATGCCAGGAATGTGTTCTGCCTCCATACCTTTTCAACCTGTATGCAGAACAGATCGTGCCGGAGACTGGGCTCTATGAGGAGAAATGTGTGGTCAAGATCGGTGAAAGATCTATCAACAATCTGAGATATGCAGATGACACAACCCTGCTTGCTGAAACTGAGGAGGACCTGAAGTGCTTGCTGCAGAGGGTCAAGGACTGCGGCCTTCAATATGGACTGAGGCTCAATGTCAAGAAAACAAAGATTCTTACCACTGGACCAATTGGTAGCATCAGGATGGATGGTTTAAAAGATTGAAATTGTTCACAGCTTTAGTCTGCTTGGCTCCACAATCAACACTCTTGACACCAGCAGCCAGGAAATTAAAAGAAATATTGCAATGGGAATGTCTGCTCTTAGGGACCTCTCTAAAGTACTCAAGAGCAACGGTGTGTCTCTGGAGACTAAGGTGCATCTGGTACAGGGACCTCTCTAAAGTACTCAAGAGCAACGGTGTGTCTCTGGAGACTAAGGTGCATCTGGTACAGGCCATAGTCTTTGCAATCACTTGTTATGCATCAGAGAGCTGGACAATGACCAGAGAGGACAGAAGGAGAATTGATGCTTTTGAGCTTTGGTGTTAGAGTGCTGAGGGTGCCATGGACTGCTAAGAAAACAAACAGATTCATCCTGGAGAGGGTTAAACCGGGTTGCTCCTTGGAGGCAAGGATTCTGAGACTTTGTCTGACACACTTTGATCATGTTGTAAGGAAAGACCAATCCTTGGAGAAAGACATCATGCTTGGGAGGGTGGAGGGCAGGCGCAGGAGGGGAAGGCCCTTTGGGAGATGGATTGATTCGGTGACTGGAGCAATTTGGATGAGTGTGTCAGAGACAGTGAGATTGGCACAGGACAGAGCAGAGTTTAGAGCTGTTATACATAGGGTCTCTATGAGTTGCAAGTGACTTGACGGCACATAACAACAACAACAACCTGTTACTTATATGCAGGAGAATTATGGAAAATGATATTTGTGTGGTTTCAAATACAGGTCTCAGGGTAAACTCCAGATCACAAAGGGCAGGAAGATGAGCTACAACAGATTGTAAGGAAAAATTGGCTTTGATATCTACCTACTTCCTGGTTCACTGAACTGGGACAAGTCACCTAACAACTCACTGACTCAGTTTGCTTCCCTGTGAAGTGGAGACAATAACAGTACCTGCCTCACTGGGTTGTCATGAGCATGAATGAGATAATTGGGCAAAACTCTTATGCAAGACTTCAACCAAAGTTCATTATTATTGTAGAAATGGAGAAAGCACTAGCAAAGCAAGGGGAAGAATCAGGAACTGGAAAGAAATAGAGAGTCTTGGAAACTTGCAATTTCAAATTACTCTCCTTCCCCTCACATGTAAGCTTACCATCTCCCTCCTCTCCCACTCCACCAAATAAATCAGCACATCAAATACCCTGTGAGAATTCAGGGTTGGAGTTTGAGAGAAGTTATTAAATTGGCTGGTCTCTATCACTGGAGTGTGAATGACCCTTTCACCTACCTCTTCATTCTAGCCCAATCCCAAACTATCTGACTAATTAATATACAAGAAACAGCTTGACAGTTGCTGCCAAAGACAAAAAGAGAGGCGACTAGTTGAGATTCAACAACACTGAAATAACTGCCCAAAAGAGAGTTAAAAAAATCAATCCCCAGGAATGTGATGAAGACCCTTGAGGTAGGGAGGCTAAAGTGGAGATTTCTAAGCAAATATAAGCTTCAGAGCTCCCAGAACCTCCTCCTATGAGATTTACAGCTGCTTAAAACCCACTAGAAGGTCAGTCATGAGCCAATTCCGGCTGGGAAACTATGAATGAGTGAAAGAATGATATGTGTATGAAATAGAATAGATGAGAAAGTCTTAGTATTTTGCATGAAGTAAGATTATGGGTTAATTTTACAAAACAACAACAACTCATCAGCACAGAGTTGAGTTGAAATTGACCCATAGCTGACCCTCTAGCAGGATTTTAGTGTCTGTAAATCACATGAGAGGAGATGGCCCATTTTTTTCCTGTGGAGAAGCTGGTAGATTCAACCCTCGAGCCTTTGGGTTGCCAATGCAACGCTCTACCCACCAGACCACCAGCACTCCCTTGTTTTACACAAGCACATATATATATTCATAGCTGTGTGTATGCGAGTGTTTGTGCTTCAAGTGTTTCTTATCATGGGTAATGACAAGACATTTAAAAGCCTCTGCTCATGAGGGCAGGTTACATGGTTTTGAGGCCAGAAGTAGATTGCCATTGTTGGTCTAGAATGACTTTGTGAACTTCAACCAAATCTAGCCCTGTCTTTTTACAAACACACGGTGATATGGTAAGTCTGGCAAGTATGGCAAAAGAGAGAAAACTTGGAGACCAAGCCTCATTTAGGATCTTTGAGGCCTTTGCTTAACATTTCTGATATTCCGTTTCTGCATCTGTGATATGGGAATATCAATCTCAGAGGGCTGCTGGGAATATGAATTATATCTAAAGTGATAGGGGAAAGGAGCTGTCCACTTATCCATTTTCTCCTTGACTGCCTGGGTTAAGTTCAATTTTCCAGTAGAGTTGGCTTTCCTCTTTCATTTGTCCTCACCACTGATAATCTTAGAAAGAGCCTTACCTGCTGGGAGAAGCCCTTCACCACACGCCTCTGTTTGAGATTTGTCTCTCCATCCAAGTTGGCAGTTTCCAGGTGGCAGATTCCACTGGGGTCAGAGGAGAAGAGGAGGAGGATGTCTGCTGGGATGATCTCATTGCATCGCATTTGGATGAAGTCGCCCACACGCACGTCCTTCCAGCATTTCTGCACGTAGCTCTGTTCTTTTCTTGGGGGAGAGAAGAGCAGGGGTCAGAGTGAGCTTTAGGACTTTTAAAATAAATTAGTGGGTGTTTTGTGAAAGGGTCTATCTATACCTCAATAGCTCCCAAGTCAGCTTGACAGACTTCTCTGTATTCTCCTTTGCCCTGAATGATCACCATTGTAACCCTCTAAAGAAACTAGGCATGATCTATGTTGTTGTATGATATTGTGGGCTTGCCTCCAACTCATGGTTGTCCCATACTAGGACTTGTATGGTGTTCATTTGCTTTTGAATTTTTGTTTTAGATAGTTGTTTTTGTGTACTATGGACTAGAAAGGGACCCATAACTGACTCTCCAGTGGGTTTCCAGAGGCAATTAATCACACAGGAATAGATTGCCATCTTTGTCCCATGGAGCAGCTGGTGGCCTTTAACCATGTGCCTTGAGGACTGCAATACGGCTTTTTGCCATTAGGCCACCAGAGCACTTTTAAGATTACCAGACTTGCTCCTCTCCCCAACATAATTTATAGAATCTCACTATGAAGATTTTGTTGTCATGATAATTTAGAATTATAATGTCTTCCATCTGTTGACCAGGTACAGTACTCAGAACTTGCTTTGTAGCAAAATAGATCCAAGGAAGACAGTTAACTATACCTGTCATGGTAGTAATCGGTTGCTGTAGGATTAACATTACAATAACAACCACCACCCTATGTGAATCGGAGTACAAGTGTGCTCTGTGGGGGTTTTAACAGCTAATGTTTTGGAAACATATCAGTAGGTCTTTTTTGAGGCATCTCTGGGTGGACTTGAAGATTCCATCCTTTGCAGCATTCAGGGTTCTCTCATTAATATCGATTCTAGTTGTTTGTTATTGTTAGGTTCTGTTGAGTCAAGTAGGGCTCATAGTGACCCTATGAAAAACAGATCTGAACCCTGACCTATCCCGTGCCATCCTCGTCATCTCTGACACACTTGAGCCCATTGCTGCAGTCAATATTTCAATTCACCTTTTTGAGGGTCTTCCTCTCTGTCACTCACCCACCACTTTCTCAAGCACGATGTCCCTCTCCTAGCAACATGCCCAAAGTATATGAGATGAAGCAGTCTTAGTATATCCAATTTCCCAAAATAATTTTCACCACAGCAAATAGTAGACAAATTGAGGAATAGGATATTTGGAAGTTTGCTTGTGATTGAGGGGAGGAATGTGGTAATAGGTAATGTGAGGATATAGGATGTAGGACATTGTCTAATATGAGCTGGAGCCATACTGAAATAGAATTCAGCCAGGGAATAAGGAAGAAAGCATGAGGAACTTGATAGATTGGAACCCATAGCAATTGTAGAGCCAAAGAGAACAGAAGAAATCAGAGGAAATTATTCTCTTCAGCTTGCTATTCAATTGACCAAGCTCAGATAATAATAGTTGCAGCAACAATTACAAATCTAGCATTTCAGCCAAGCACTAGCACTGATATTTCCTTTATTTGAATAATAATAATCTGTTTAATAAGCGAGAAAACTGGGGATTTCACAAAAACTATTGAACCCTTATTTCAAAGTCCATGCATTTCCCTTCTCTGATAAGCCTGCCTGCTCTAAAACTTCCCCGCCTCAGACAGCACCACAACCTTAAGTGTTCTTTCTTAATTTCTTTTTTAAACTTTTAAATTGCAATTTGAGTGAAAGTTTATAGAGAAGATTGGCTTTCCATTTGGTCAACCAGTCACATACATTTTGCTTTATGGCATGGATCACAATTCTCATTAAAATAGCATCCCTCCCAATTTCTCCCTATGGTTCTGGTTTCTTTTCAGCCCTCTAGCCTCTTCCTTCTTGCCTTCTGAGCTTTATCCTGAACAAATACTTTCCTTTTAATTACTCTTAGGACTGAGCACCTCCCTGGCTTTATTGTTCACTCATATAGACCTTCCTATTGTTTGGCCAAAAGTTATGTCACAGGAGAAAGTCCAGTTCCAGACTCAAAGAGTAGCCAAGAGCCAGTTTCAGTGGTTACACTAGTTATCAGACCTGTAAGCCTGGACATCTTTTCTTTTGTTTTCTCCACATCTATCTTCCAATCTTTCCAGAATCTTCCATTGTGATCTCTCCCAGGTTGGCCAGCAGTGGCAGCACAGCACCACCTATTTCTTCAGATCTCCTGGTTGTAGAGGTTGATGAACTAATTGTTTCCATGTGTATGTTTGTTTCACTCTTCTTTGCTCTAGACAAGGAGAGATCAATAGCCACATCTAGGTAAGCTACAAACTCACCTGAGCTTAAAGGCTTTCTCACCAAAGTCTGGAGTAGAACACTGTGTTTGTGCAGCTGCGGTATTTCCGACTTCAGGAAAAGGACTCACTATTTCCCAGGACAGCATGTTCCATTTTTTAAATGTCTAGTGGCATAGTCATAGGGAGTCATGCTACCAATCCAAAGGTCATACTTTCTCAGGGAGTTGGAACATACCAACTACTCTGTGGTAGAAAGATGGGCGGTGTCATCCTGTGGAATTTATAGCTCTCAAAAATCTGCTGGGGGGCTAGCTAGCTATGAGTCGGTTTGGACTCAGTGACAATGAGTTGAGTTATTGTTTTCTTTCAGAAACTCTCTTTTCCACATAGCCAAGTATTTGTTTAACTGGTTCTGTTCCCTTCGGCAAATGTGATCTAGACCATCTTGCAATTTTATTTTAATATTTCAGTTTCTCACGAGGACTTTTGGACTCTCCAAATCAAATTCAACTTCTGGGTGTCCTTAATTACTCCTGTGTCATGTAGTTTCAAATTCTTTCCCTGGGGATGTAGGTGCTTCAGGCTAAAGCAGCATATGGATTCTGCTAAAAAATGCCCTTCTTTACATATGGATTCTGTAACTGAACATACATTCAGCATTTGGTCTATATTAACAGTGCTGTGCGTCTCTGAGCTCAGCCAGCAAGAGCAGAGCGGACTCTCCTTTGCTGTATTTCTCCACTGATGTTTAGTCCCTCTGGGCATTATTTTCGTGCTGCTGTTTCTGTTGGAATCTGAGCATTGCAGCTTGAGCATGACAAGCCCACTCTTCCACAGAGAAAGAGACGTGACTAGAATTCAAATTTATTTTTCATTTTGACTTCACAAAACTGCCTAAAGAGGGTGAGGGGTTTGGTCTCTTCCTTGAGAACTTCTGAATAACCACAGACAAGCCCTCATAAGGCCCATCTTTCTGCCCATTAAAAGTCCCACAGAAGACTTCCCCTGGCCCCTGCAATATCCTAGTTGCTGACATGGACAGAGAAGTCTAATTCAAAAAGAGGTTTGCAAATATTAGTTGAGACTGTCACATACATAAACATATTAAAGGCAAAGCCAGCACATTTATAATCACAGTCACTGAATCTCATTTGCTGTCTTTCTAATAAATTATTCTACTGATTATTAAGGGAGCTCTGGTGGCCTAGTCTGTAAGGAGTTGCATTGTTATTGCAAAGACTAATCCTCTCTGCTGATTTGAAACCACCAGCAGCTCTACTCCAAAGAAGAAATAGGGGCAATCTCCTACC